CAGAAGCATGCTGAAGCCAGCTGCCCTACTGTCAGGGTCAGATCTCTGCCACACCAGCTCACCGCACGCAGAGCTGCCCCGCTACTGTAGATTCCTGCTGGATGTTGCCCATTAAAGGAGTTGACATAGTTAATATAATACATCACATTTTCCTCCCCTCTGATCATAAATGCCTAGTCCGTTTGGGACATGGGGTCCCCCACGTGCGAACATCAGGTCCTGGGGGAATCAGGTCTTGCCTTTCGTGACAGTCGGGTTCTGGAAGTTACCACCCATTCAGGAGAGTACCTGGCAATCCTGGAACTGTAACTCATTCAAACAAAACACCTGAGAGCTTCTAGAATGAATCCACTGATTAATCTTAAAATGTCTGGCTTGCTTCTCAAACACTGAAATGATTTATGAAATATTCACAAAGATTTGGACTGTTAGATATAAACCCTAACCCTCAGTGGGACATACAAGCCAATACAATCCCAAAGAGAAGCAAAAGAGATATCTGAGAGGAGACTGAGAGGAGGCTAGAGGAATGTCTGTTCAGTACGAAGGCATCACAGCTCAGACTGCCTCACTCACATGATGCAGGAGTGACTATAAAACAGCACACACAGGAGCAGCACAATTAACACACAGCACACACAGGGACAGCGAATTTAACACACAGCACACACAGGGACAGCAAATTTAACACACAGCACACACAGGGGCAGCAAATTTAACACACAGCACACACAGGGACAGCAAATTTAACACAAAGCACACACAGGGACAGCGAATTTAACACACAGTACACACAGGGGCAGCTAATTTAACGCAACTCACGCAGGGACAGTAAATTTCACACGGCACACACAGGGACAGTGAATTTAACACACAGCACACAGGGACAGTATGCGGAGCCCAGGGGATGTCTAGAGGGTTAATCTGTGAGACGGGAGAGGTGGACCTTGGCAGGCCAAGGAGAAGGTTATTCAGGCGATCAGCCACAGGGGGCTGGGATGAAAACTAGAATGTGGCTCCCTGTGTCACTGGGGGTTACAGTTAAAAATAGGAGATTCTTGCCTGAGGGCTGAGTGTGTTTTTTCTGTGGACCTTTGCTGTTCATTTTCTAATGTCTGATTTAACATTGCCCCAAACAGGTCTCTTATTGCATTAGTGAGATATAATCCTGAAGCACCGTAAAACCACTGCTCTGAGAGCACTAATAAACAGGCAGCGCGGGGAGACACGATACTGTTGGAAAGGGTTTGAGTGTAGGACAACGCGGCTCATCTGAGTATCCCACTGAGCATCTGGAGCAACTGATCTGAACCAGAGCAACAGCCTCACACTCACACTGCCACTCACCTCTCGGTGCTGATTAAATGAAATATTCATGATCAAATTAATAACTGCTGCTCATTTCGCAACATTTGGAGGTGATCTTTCCCATAACATGTCAAGATCATAATTAGAAACACAGACCCAATCAGGTACATATCCTGTTTATTTATGTAAATGTCTGTATTAAAAGTGCCGAGTTGAAACCCCTTGAGAAACGTCTGCAGAGAACCCTATGGAGATGAGTAAGGTCACATTGCGCACCTCCGATGACAATCAGGACTAGAACCAATAACGGGAGGTTTTTTTTACAAAACCTCTCTCTAAAAACCAAGAGTAAAGTGGAGATGTGACAAGGATTGGGATACTTTCATACTCAGATAAAGGCATTCACATTTTAAACAACACTGATTAGCTATTTTAAATTTCTTCTTTGTTTTTCTCTCAAACTCCTGTTTTTTCGACCAGTCAAAACCTATCATTTCACAGCATTTACATGACAATCTGAGCTGCAGAGATTAATTTAAACATATCCTGACAGATCCCATCTCTCAGGGATAGAAGTGATGACATCAGGCTCAGAATGTGGGGAACAAACCTTTAACTACTGAATGGAAGTTTCTGATGTGCTGAAGTGTCAATCCTGTCCTCAGAATGAGGATTTTGATTTTTAAACTGTATCATTTCGTTAACCTACTGGGAGACTAATACAATTCACTGTTGTTTCATCCATTTTAACTTGTATGTTTGCAGTTTTCACAAATTTAAATCTATATGAAGCTGTGACGAATGTCTGGGGAAAGAGAGGATGTCATGTGAACAATCCAAGGCACACTGGGATAGAAGGTCTGTGCCTAAATGTGAAATAGGTTTGGGCCTAATCATTCCTTAGCAACTGTCTGTTGACATGGATATTTCTAGACATACAGGTGTATTTCTAATACAAAATGAAGGTACAAATCTCTCTGATTTTTTAAATGTTTTCAAACTGTAAGAAATAAACTTTAATATGACAATACTAAAGGATCATCTTCCGTACACAGGCTGATTCCTGCAGATTTCAGGAGCTCTGTTCTCTTCCTGAAGTGAAGCACAAGATCATTCACATATTCCAACAAGATATACAGCTGAGTAACAAAGTTCATCACCTAAAATAAGGTGTTTTCTTTGCTATATAAATTCAAGTTAAATGGAAATTAACTGAACAGAATCAGGCAAGAAACCCCAGAAACACTTACCCCAAACAGCACACTGCACTTCTGACTATTATTGTCTTAAAATGGTCACCAATTTTCAGAGCTAAAAGCCAGCCTTTCATTTCAACCATACTCACTCAAAAGCAGATTGAACTGTATCCCACCACATAGACTCACAGGCAGCAACGTAAAACTGAACACTCTCTTGTTTTAGAGACTGTAGTCTGGCTAAGAAAAATAAACATAATTGGGACTAAACCGCTTACTACAATGATAAACATTATAATGTAAATAAAACTTTTATTAATTATGGCCAAGAGAAGCTAGACATTTACTCAGAAGATTTAAACATGCAAACCTCAATTTTCAAGACAGGATATTCTGTGAATTTCAGGTCCCTCATCCAGACATCCCAACTATGAAAACATAATTTCAGGGAGGGGGGGAAGGGATGTCCATTCCGTGAAAACGTATGGACCCCCTTGAAAAAATCACAGCTATATAATGAATTATTTGCTGATAGATACTATAACTCACCAGTCCAGTTGAATAATCTCACTTTCTTTGCAAACTTTCGTTAGAAATAGAGGCGGCTTATTTAGCAGATGCTCAGATGGCTCAAGGTCATATTAATATAATTAAATAATTCGCTGTTGAATTTTTCGGACCGGGGGTGTCGCCAACAGAAACATTTGGGTGCGGGGGCGATTTCCGGGAGATTATGGATCACCTCCGGGAGACATGGGATGTCTGGTCATCTCCAGTTGCTGGTGGTGGCCTCACTTCTCGTGCAATGCGAGGTTAGACCAGTGTACGAGGCAAGAGGATACTGGCGCATGTGCCTGGGACTCTGGTTTGGCGAGAGTGCGATCTGTAACCCAGCACAAAACGTGACCCGGTCCCGATACAGTAAATATCAATATCCTTAAAACAGGCAGGATATTTCACGGGCGCGTATCACACACGGATACAGAGAATAAATACCCTAACATGAGAACACACAGCCGTAACGTAACACAAATCAGAAAGGACAGAACCTATGAAGGCAAACGGTCACAGCTCGACTGTTAATCATATAAATATCCCCAAAAAACTGAAGAGAATTAGCTGAAACTGGAGACTGATAGGAAGAAACAGATGAGAGCAATAGTAGTATACCTTCAGGCACTGAACGGACATGACCACAGTCTATATCCGCCGTCTTTCACGGACCCTGCTACTGTGAGATCTCCAGCAAGCGCCAGCTGTTCCCGATTTGTGTCTCCACACGCCGTCCGGCCTCGGCCCGGTCACGGAGGGCCGGCGCTTCCCGGAGCTCGCCGGGTGATTCCGTGAGCGCACGGCAGATGACGGCGCCGATGAGCAGCGCTTTCTCAGAAAAGCAGCCCTCGTCAGGGTCAGTGAATTCATGGAATTATGAGCGCTTCGCCTTCCCCATCCACACAGGAATAAATTGAGCGGTGCTGGGGACTGACTGAAGCAGTCAGATCTGACACGGCAAGCGAGGCCTGGCTGATACGAAAGTCCTTGCGCGGGGTGTCCCGCGGTGACATCGCGATTTGAGGCTGTTTTCCCTAGAAACACGGCAGGAATTAATCATCCCGACTCAACTGTGGCCAATGGTGCCGGAGAGAAAATAGCATTGCATAAATTAAAGTGCTTGGAGGTTGATTTTTTTTTCAGATGTAAACTTATTTTTGTTTAATTATGCACAATTGTTTTTCTTCTTTTGGCATCTTCAAAGCTCATTTCCTTAATTCTGTTTGCTTGGACAAGGCCTTGAGGTGAACTCATCTAATTTTCCCCTACTGATCCTTAATGGTGATAAAATCTCCCTCTCCAAGACAATGTGGTAATACTGTAACAGCAGTGGACAAAAAAACTAACTGAGCCTGGAAGTAAGACTAGAATTAAAGAAGGTGCAAGATTGTTCTATTTAAACTCCTTTGTAAAGAAGTGCGTCTCCCTCTTCTAAGGCAAGTTGCTGTTAGGAAATGTGTATATTGTAGCGCTCTTGGGCTCACATGGGTATGCACCCTCACTTCTGCCGCCTCAGGTCAGCCCCCCACCGCTGGGGACTCGAACCCAGTCCTCCGGCATCACTCAACAGGAAACCAGTCAGTTGAGCCAAAGGGAGATCTCCCCAGCGGTGGGGGGCCGACCTGAGGCGGCAGCGGCGAGGGCGCATACCCACGTGAACCTGAGAGCGCTACATTGGTGTCAGGAGCGGGATGGGATAGCCCTTCGCCGAGGACGGCGAATTAAGATGGGGAGAGTGTAACGCACACGGCCACCATTGCAGGTTGTGCGAGCCGGCTTACCAGTGCGGTGACGTCACCTCCCTTCCCTGTGAACAGCAGGGACCTCAGCCACCGGGCTGAGAGGAGATCTCCCTTTAGCTCAGCTGGCTAGGAAGCCAACCTGAGGCAGCAGTGGTGAGGGTGCATACCCATGTGAACCCAAGAGTGCTACAGTATTTTACTTTCCAAACATTTTAATTCATGTTATTTACTCACTTCTCTAAGGTTAATGTCCTCTCTGAACCTCATGGAAGCACTTCCATTAGAGGCTACCTAACCTGAAAAAGCAGGCCTGTTCAAACAGGCCACAACACGCACTACAGGACAACTGGTAACCCTGGCAACAAGGATGTGATGTTTTTGAGAGACAGACACGCATCATAAGCAGCTTTAAAATCAGGGATTATGGATCTTTAATGACTTCACAATGTGGGGGGTTCATATCTCCTCACCCGCTACTGTAGGTTTCAAATCCACCACTGTGTCTCTGAAAGGCTGAAAATGACGTTTCTGGATTTGTCTGACACAGTTTTCTACAGCCACCCAAATGAAGCAAACAAACGCCTTTAGCTCTCTTTACACAGCAGAGATGAATGTGTGCAGTTTTAGGATCTTCTCATTTACTGTCTACATAGGTAAATTAAAAAATAAAATACACAGGAAATAAACGCTCATTATGTGACTCATTATTTTGACTCTGATATTCTAAATGAAGAACTGTAGTGTTTTGTTGATGTAATTTACCTGTTTGCAGGTGTTTTATTTCTGATGATTAGTGACCATGGAACAGAGGATCAGAGCTTTACCCAGCAGACACAGGATGCAAAGTAGGACAAGACAGTGGAGAGCACACTCATCCGTGGCCGAATACACAGTCACACCTGGGACACACCAGCCAGCCTAGCAGCCTGTCTGTGGAAGGTGAGAGAAAAGCAGAGCACCTAAGTAAACAAAAGGAAAACGTGCAAACTCCAAACTCAATTTTCCCCAATCAAATTCCAGAGTCAAGATCTGTGAGGCAGTGGCCTTGACCATCATGCCTCTGTGCCTCCGTTAATTACATCTGTTCAATCTTTATATTGTGTTCTGGGCAGATTACACACTTCATTCGCTGATTAATAAAAAAAGAGAATGCAGGTGTAAGAAACCATGTACTAATTGATTGGGCTGATGTCTGTCCATTTGGTTTCAAATGGATCTCTTCTTAGCAGTGTTATTTTATTTTAGGAAACCTGGCTATCAGAACTGTTCCTGAAAAAAGGAGGATTACTTTCATGTGGATAATAAAGGCACCATCCATTATCAGAAAACTGTTTATTCACAGCGAGGGTTACGCCAGCCTGGAGCATATTCCTGAAGTGGAGAGCACACTGCAGGACTCTGGACAGTCCATCACAGGACACACACACAGGGACAATTTACCGACACCAACTAACCTAGTCAGCATATCTGCAGGAGGTTGCAGGAAATAAAGCAACCAAATAAATCTCACTTGGACAAAAAAGGAAATTTCAGACTTCACATAAAAGGTGCAACAGAATCAAATTTAGAACCCAAGATCTGTGAGCCAGCAGAGTTAACCCTCCATGACAACACAATAGCATGTTTCCATGCAGACTGGATTTAATATTGCATTATTCCTTCTGTCTTTTGTGATTTCAGAAATATTCTGAACAGCAGCCTCGAGGGACCTTTATGGAGATTACTTAATGCCAACCTCATTGACTTGGAAAAGCTGATCTTCCATTATTCTGATTAGGGTTAATCTGATTTCTAATGTAAAGGCAGCTTGATTTGAATGTTTAATTCAAGAATTCTCATATATTAAGGGAAATTGTGCTTGTGGAATGTATACTTAATGACTCATTCGCAGTCTTCATAGAGGGAAGCAAAGACAATGGTGAACTCTTTATGAATCACTGCTGTAACATGTTTTCTATTTTAGCAACACTCTTAAACATGGTATCCGAAAAGGCGTGTGCTGATGTTTAGCAGTCAAAGACATTTGAGTTTCCCCTTCCTGCGTGGATCACACTGCTTTACTAATTTCAGTGGAAAAGAAGAGCAGTGAATCTATTAACTACTTTTCGTAGGTATTTTCTTTAACAATTCCTTTTAAAGCAAAAAAGCTAGAAACTGTGTTTAAAAGAAATGAATATATATCTTTCTGTATAGATTTTGTAAAGTATTTGCCAGTTTCCAGGAGTCTGAAAGAAATCAAGGAGGAAAGAAAGGTTTCAGGATTCTAAAAAAATCACATTTATAAGAGGTAATCAAAATGTTTGTTTTTTTACATTGCTCACTTACAGCTTTTCCATGGGTTGTGGTAGTTTACAATGTTCTTTCTTCTGTTCTTTATTTATGTGAAGTTTTCTCTCATGTGCAATCATTCTTATGTTCTATAAACAACAGTTGCAAGATGTACTCAAATCAGGCAGGTATCAGTCTGTCCCAGATGACTTGAGAGAGAATGTTTTTGAACAGTGAACAAGTTTCTTCAGTGTTATTGGCGAAGATCAGTTATCTTGCCTCCCACTTCCCGGAGATGTGCTGGCAGGCTGCTGGGCTGTGCAACATTACCTGTGCTGTGAAGAGCAGCAGAGTAGCACCTAACTCAAGAGCTGGGCAGGAGCAGCTGTACAAGGGGCTGAGTGCAATGTAGTTTGGACACTGTTTTGGTGAAGAAGATGCTGTGTGTGTAAGTCACTAGGAAGTCAATTGTAGATAAACATGTCAAAGCTGGTGTGAAAAATTTCACAGTGAAGTAGGTCAGCTAGACAGCCTCCTGGGGCCTCTGAAAACAAACACAGCAGGGACAGACGCTGCAGCAAGCAGCTCTCTGAGCTCGGAAGCCTGGACGAGCTTGATCCAGGATTCGGGCACTTTGCGTGTGGGTTTGGTCATTGCCAGGATTTTGGTCAGTAGGTGTTCATGATCCTGCAAGGAGAATATGATGAAAAGGTTTCAGGGCTGCAGAGTTACTGTGCAGAGTGAAGCTTTATCCACATCTCAGAAGCTAGGAAAAGCTGAGCCTGGTCTGTACTGGGATGGGAGGCCTCGTGTAAAAGCCGCAGGTACTCTGAAGTGTCAGTCAAGAACCCAGTGTGGTTCTGCAGGAAGAGATGGTTCCGGACGCTTTCCTGACGTACTGGGTCATTCAAGATCCCACGGGACAGTTTGTAAGAGCAGGGGTGTTAGTCCCTGTGTCCTGGCTAAATTCCTCTCAGATCTTGTGTATCTTGCCTTCTTAATGTTTTCCCTTAATTTAACCAAAGCATTTTCTTACTTCTGTACCTGATCTGCTATGTAGTGGGGCTGCTGGTGTAGAACAGTGGCCACATGTCATACTATCTGGGGCTGCACTCCAGCTGTGGACAAAATGAATCCTCACCTATATGCAAAGTACTTTGGGGTGAACTGCTCTATGAAATTGCAAAGTATTATTATTAATAAGGGCAGTTCCCATAGTAATTGGACACAGACCTCAGTTACACATTACATCAGTAAACAGAAAACGAAGCACCAATCATCTTCACTTGTCAGTCCAGGTGGTCTGTACACACACAGACCAGCCACTGCACGGAACCTAATCTTCCCTTCCTGGGCAGACTGGATTAGAGCCTATGGTGGGTGTCTCACTTTTTATACAGTAGCTCTCTCTCTTTTCAGGAAGACTCATCTGCTCATCCCTTCCTCTTTCTGCTTCACTGTTCTTCCAGTTTTACTGTGGGCCTGTAGGTTAATTCTATAATTACCATAATGGAAGCAGCAGATTTGATTTATCAGAATCATGGATTTTTATTGCTCGTCTTCAGTCCCAAGGAGGGTTGCCAAAGTATTCAGATTCCCACACAGAGATTTCATATTTTGGTGCTTTAAAGTTTACTGTCATGAGACATGACGTAGCATTTAATATTTGTTATATACACAATATACTCCACACATTCAAAACAAAAAAACAAAAAGAAAGAAATGAATCTGAAAGAAAAATGGAAAAGACATGATTGCATAAGTATTCAAACCTTTGCTATGGCAAGCCTAAATTAATTTAGCCACATAAAACTGCCTTAATGAGCCACACAGTACAGTTAGTTCAGTGGCCTCTTTCTTTGTGGTTCTCATGGTTTCAGAAAGCAAACACCTGTTTCTGTGAGGACCCTTGGGCATGTAGAGAATCTCAACAGGTATTCTTGGATAAAGTCCAAGAATATCAGAAGAGTGTAGAAAAACACTCAATCATCAAAAATACTCACAATCATCAGAAATACTTCAAGGGCTGAGATGGGAAAAAATGTGCAACAGTCAGCAATATCCAGAGACATTCATAAATTTAGCCCGTATGGCAGAAAGGCAAGACAGGTGCCATTTTTAAAAATAAGCTGTGTCAAAGCCTGCATGGTGTTTGTAAAACACCTGAGTGATCCTGCATGTATCTGGCAAGAGATGTTCAGAGGAGACCAAATTGGAACTTTTTGGTGCAATTGCAAAGCATTACAGACCCAACACAGCACATGCCCCATCTCTGCAGTCACGCACAGTGGTGTCAGCATCATGCTGTGGGTGTGCTTCTCCTCAGAAGGGTCTGGGAAGCTTCTTAGGATTAAAGGAAGAATGAGTAGAGCAAAGTACAGGCAGATAGTACAGGAAGAATTGGTCTACTCTCCAAACTCTTCAAAGTTTCCTGCGGAAACTGACATTTTGCCTCATTTTTGTCCTTAGCAGTTTTGTCCTTTCACGTTCAGCGGGACAGTGATACTGGGGCTCTGGGCGGCGGCGCGGAGGGCGCAGGACCGCGCACTGCTGTCTGTCACTAGATCACGGCCGAGCAGGCGGCCTGACGGCAGGGAACAGCCAGAGGGAAGCTCTGCTCTGAGGAGCGCGTGCTTCATTCCACAGCAGACGCAGGTCACCCCCTGGCACCTGGGGCTCAGCCGAGAGGGCAGTGCCTCATTCCCAGAGAGGGTACATGGCCACAGGGATGATCAAGATGAAGGACAGGGTGGCTCTGCATCCCCATGGCAATGCAAGAATTCGTTCTTACACAACAGAGCAAACAATTACGCATCCAAACAAGCACGTGAACTTGGCAATTGCTCATCGCGTAAACAGTGCCTTTCTGGCATGTCTATATGAATCCCAGTCACACCTTTTGACAGAAATGAACAGGATGTTGGCAGAGGTCTTGAGTAATGGAGAGTTTGAATCGGGTGATCAGCTCAACCAAGCCAGTTAGTAGTCAACTTCCACCAACCTTTAATGAAACAGCTTTTTTAAATAGAATTTCTTGCTAAATAACAGAAATTCTCCTGCATAATGTGCAATTAAAAGAGAAGACTAAAATAGTTAAAGGGTATTTCCTTGCAAATGTGAGATAAATCTGGTCATGTTCAACAAAACAGAATGAAAATACAGTTGGCTGAAATGGAAGGTACTGTAGGCCAATTTTACAGTATGTTTCCCATCTCCTTTAAAAGGAATAACCTGTTACTAAATGTCCAGCTATATTTTCCAGCATTTAAATTCATATCAAATGAAAAAGTACAATCATTAGATTCTATTGTAATAAAGAATAAGTGTCAATGTTTTTAAGCATTACACCGTCATCAGGGTACACAGACAATGACTTTTGTCAGTTTGAGATGGAGCTATACATAGATTCCAGTTCAGATCAGATCTTAATTAATATGTTCAAATGGCTCCTGACAGCTTTAAGTGCTGTTGTTGTTTACTGGTAATGAGGTTCTTTCTGGCATAAACGGCATGATGTTTACACTGGTGGAACCATTACAGTAGATCTGCAGGGAAGGTTCTCTATGAACACAGTTGTTCTGCAGGTCCTATATGAACACAGTACCCTTAGCAGGACAGGGTCTGTGTGAACAAAGTGATTTCTGAACTACTGTACCTAACTGGTCTTATTTTCTTTTTTCTATTAAGAGACTCTGCAAGACGGTAGCCCTTGCCATTCAGAATTGAACAATGTCACCATATAGTATGTGAACAAGGTGGAGAGGGAGATTAGGATTAAAGAGAAGACAGGATTTACAGAATGAGAAGTACTGTATATGAAGGGTGGCTGTAGGAGTACAAGTGCATTGTTTTTCATTATAATGTTGGCCCAATCTGTTAAAAAATCCTGACAGAACCAAAGGATTTATAGTCACAGCACTATTTATTCAGTCTATCTATTCACCTTCTTCATGTCTTTCAATGCATTGTTAGCTCTCTAAATCTTTTCCATCCCTGTGACCCTGGTAAGTGTAAGACATGCTGTGTGCTGAAGTTGTACATTGCTTGGCCTTTTGAATTGTAAAGCAGGTGTTTGTTTTTTTAATGTATGAATATTCTTCACGGGAGGGTAGAGTTGGATCTGTTGATTATTACATCTAACTTGATAAATGGCATCAGCTTCTGGATTGATGTGTAGCCACACATTATTAGTGTTAGCAAAACCACTGTCAGAATCCTCTACAGCCAAGGCTTATCAGAACATAAGAAAGGTTACAAATAAGAGAAGGCCAATTGGCTCCACTAGCTGATTTACTGCTAGTAGCAATTAATCTGAGGCTGTCACAGCCATTTCATGAAGCTAGGGCATCAGATGCTGGGGTATCGAACACCAGGGCATCAGACGCTGGGGTTTCGAACACCAGGGCATCAGACGCTGGGGTATCGAACACCAGGGCATCAGAGGCTGGGGTTTCGAA